GAATAAGCCGAAACGCAGTGGCGTAATCTTAAAATGGAGGTCATTTTCAAAATCTACACCTCCGGAAACATAAGAATACACTCTTTTATGATAAAAATTCGAAACACTTAAAGAAATCGAAATGCGGTGGCCTAATCTTAAAATGGAGGTCGTTTTCAAAATCTACGGCTCCGGAAACATAAGAATACATCCTCATATGAAAAAAATCCGAAAAACTCAAAGAAATCGAAACGCGGTGGCCTAATCTTAAAATGGAGGTCGTTTTCAAAATCTACGGCTCCGGAAACATAAGAATACATCCTCATATAAAAAAAATCCGAAAAACTCAAATAAGTCGAAACGCGGTGGCCTAATCTTAAAATGGAGGTCGTTTTCAAAATCTACGGCTCCGGAAACATAAGAATACACCCTCATATGAAAAAAATCCGAAAAACTCAAATAAGTCGAAACGCGGTGGCCTAATCTTAAAATGGAGGTCGTTTTCAAAATCTACGGCTCCAGAAACATAAAAGTAGACCTTTATATTGGATAAATTCTAAAAACTTAAATAAGTCAAAACACAGTGGCGTAAACATAAAATAGATGTCATTTTCAAAATTTACTGATCGGGAAACATAAAAATACACCCTTATATCGAATAAGTCAAAAAAACTTAAATGATTCGAAACGCAGTCACTTAATCTTAAAATGGAGGTTATTTTCAAATCTAGGTACAGGACAGCATAATACTAGTCCCTAATAAATCCGAATACGTACAATAAATCGATATCCGTAAGTGAAAATTCTACTTAGGAGATCATAATAATAGACTTTCATATTGGAGGGAGGAGAGGATGGCCATTATTTTTAAAAAAAATATATAAAATTTACAAAAAATTAAAACATTAATTTGAAATGACAACGGTTGAATTTGAATTGGAAAAGATTTAATTTGAAATGGAAATGGTTGATTTGACTTGGAAAAAGTTTAATTTGATCTGGAAAAGGTTGAATTTGACTTGGAAAAGGTTGAATTTGACTTGGAAATGACATAGAAATATCACACTGAAAAAATCTAAAATGTTAAAATAAATGGATATGCAACCGCGTTATCAAATTTTTTTTTGTATTTTTCAAAAGCTATGCCTTCGATAATATAGTAAGTGGCCTTCATTTCGAAAAAAATCGAAAATTGACAAAAATTCGAAAGTTGAATTTGAAATGGAAAAGGTTGAATTTGACTTGGAAAAGGTTGAATTTGAAATGGAAAAGGTTTAATTTGACTTGGAAAAGGTTGAATTTGATTTGGAAAAGGTTGAAATTGACTTGGAAATGCTATATATGTTGTAAAATAAAAGTATTTTTTTATTATTAAATTTTTTTTTGTTTACAATTTCAATAATATGAATAAAATATAATAAATATGAATATTAAGATAGGAATTATCAGTGCCTTATCAGAATTAACAGTGTTCAGGTTATAAACATTGACAGTCGATCCCGACCGCATAATAGAGCACCGAAACTTGCTCAAATGGAGCAGAGTAGAAGGGAAAATGATGCACGAAAGTTCTATCAACTCGTTAACTGTACTCAGAAACCATTCAAACCTTGAGTGAGTGCATCAGAAATGAAGATGGAACTTTACAGATGGACAAGGATAGCGTGGGATGGAAGAACCATTTTTGATCTTTACTTGAGGGTGGCGATATAATAGAAAACGATGCTGAAAAAATACTAGGAGAAGAACTAAAGCCACTGGATGAAGATGAGATTCAAATGACCATAAATAAGTTAAATAACAACAGAGCTCCTGGATCAGATAATCTGCCTGTGGAACTGTTTAAACACGAGATGAAGAATTGCCGAGTGAGTGGTATAAAACTATCATATGTCCAATATACAAAAATCTGGTGTGGTGGGCGTATCACATGCTTACCACTTACCATCCTTATTTTAAGAGAAATAGGTACTGAGCTTGGCAAAGCCCAACTGTGTGCTCAGGTTTTGTTGGTTCTCTATTAATAACAATTTATATTAGCTTACTTCTTCCTTTAAATAATTATCAAATTCTTTCATATTTCATATTTAACAATTTTTTTATAACAGGTTCTAGAGGGAAATGATTAATTACTACAAATAAAAAAAATTAAAGGTAATTCAGAGGAAGAAAATTTGAAAACAAAGCATCTAAGCCCTGATAGAGAATATCAATGAGAATAAGACTTACATATCATTAAAAAATGTTTAATTTTACACTGATGTAATACATTTAATCAAAATCGTTTAAAGGGCCATTTTCTAGAACATTTTAAAAATGTGTAAACAATTGCTGTAACATCCCAGGCATGTAAAAACGCTAAATACATAATTTCAGTTTCGTACGACTTTTCCTTTTTGAGCTAGACTGTTCACATACACACACACCATTTCGCAGGATGGCTTAGGGGACCTCAAAACATTTATTTCCATTCAGAACTCAAATTCGATATTTTTCACGTTCACAATACTTTCCCTTACTATATATTACATGTATAGATAAGTGAAAGTAAATAAGGGAACATTCTTCAACGGAACAGCGTTCAACAAATCTGCTATAATCCTGGGATTTGCAGACGCTGTTGATATGATTAGAAGGTCTTTTGCAGTGATCAGGGATGCCTTCCGAGACCTACAAAGAGGAACCAAAAAAATGGGATTTGCCATCCATGAAACAAAGATAAAATACATGTTTGCGAACCCTATTGGTGGAGGCCAGAGGTCAGGTGTATATTGGCCAGTATAGTTTTGAGAGTTGAAGAATTACCTTGTAACCCAAGTGAACTAAAGAAATTATTTTAACCCTGAAATCCATTGGTGAATAATAGCTAAAAATAGGTGCTACTACGGTTTTCAGACACACCTTAAAAGCAAAGATGTCTCCAGGACCACCAAGGTGTGTCTGTATAAAACACTTATCAGACCCGTGCTGATTTATGGATCTGAATGCTGGACTCTCCCGAAAACTTAAGAGCAAGTTCTTGCAAGATTTGAGCGCTGGCTTCTCCGCAAGATATAAGGAGCGGTCTATAGTGATGGTTGCTGGAGGAAACGAAGCAATACAGAACCGATGGCACTTTACAACGACACTGATATCACCTTGGTCATCAAGATAAGTCAACTACAGTGGGCAGGTCATGTGGCGAGAATGGCCAATGGATGTGGGGGAGCTAATGGATAGGGTAACGGGAGGTCTAGAGAGGGAAATAGGTGCGGGAATCTCCCCAACTCTTTGCGGAATGATCGAGTGAAGTGCCCTACCCACTGCTTGTGAGTTCCCAAATCTCCTTATCCCTATCAACGCCTATTGTCACCTCCATGTGGCGCCCCCCGGGGAATCCGATGGGACTCACGGACGACAGAGGCGGGGTTCGTTGGTTCCATCCATGTGTATGCGGATGATACATGTGGGATGGAACTGAGGAACCTGTTAGGCACCCAAGCTAGGTCGGGGCGCACGAGCTGAGGCTGAGTGGCAGAGGGAGATCGCTGGAAAAGAGCGATAGGAAAGAATTGGGGACTAAAACCAAAAATGGTATACTGGCTGTACACAACGACAGTCAGACCTATCATACTTTACTCAGCTTTGCTATGGTGGCACAAAGCAAAGACTGTAGCCAACTTATCCTTATTAGGAAAGACTCAAAGGCTTGCTTGTATAATGATAACAGGCGCAATGAGCACGACACCGACGGCTGCTATGGAGGTGATGCTGGGCATTCCTCCGCTGCAGCTGGAGGTGGAGGCTTGGGCAACAATTACACTGTACAGGATAAGCAAGTCAACTTACTGTTCAACAGTCCCCTGTCAGGGAGGACACACAATACTGCTGAACAGGATTGGATGTGAAGGAGTACTAGCTATGCACTCTGACACTCTAATCCGAGAATATCAGGACCGAAAATATAAGGTTGAGATAGATAGCAGCAGAAGTCATAAACCAAATAGTGGAATAAATTGCTATACAGATGGCTCTCTAACAGCCTTCGGCTCTGGAGCAGGCATCTATCGCAAAGATATAAAAGGAAAAATTTCTATACCACTTGGCAGGTATGCTTCAGTGTTTCAATCCGAGATACTGGCAATCTGCCACTGTGTACAAAACCTACTGCAAACCAATGTGACTGAGAAAAATATCACCATCTATACTGACAGTCAGGCAGCAATAGGTGCTCTCAACAATTATTATGTTTGTTCAAAGGTCGTTAAGGAATGCAATAGAGCACTTAACGAGCTAACTGAGCACAACAGAGTTGCAGTGGAGTGGGTGTCAGGTCACTCTGGCATACCAGGCAATGAGATGGCTGATGAGCAAGCCAGGTTGGGCTCAGATATAATTCAGATTATTCCTATAACTCCCGAGCCTGTCTGTGGAATCAGCCTCAGCACTGCCAAGGGCAGGATCAGGGAGATCTATGGGAACAAATTTAGGAATTACTGGACCGACAAGAAACAGAGACATTCGAAGCTGTTCCTTGAAGGCCCATGTAAAAAAAGAAGTAAACAGCTACTGAACATGGACAGAGCAGCTCTTAAAAAACTTACAGCGATCTATACAGGTCACTGTAAGTTAAATAATCATATGTTCAATCTCCGAGTAATGACGAATCCGCTATGCAGATTCTGTCAGGAGGAGAATGAAACAGCTTTCACATCATATGCAGATGTGACAGGTTTATAAGGCTGAGACTGGTGGTATTTGGGGAGGAACAGATGGATCTCCCCAGAAGATTTGAGTCGGTCAATCCAACCAGCCTACTTAGATACGCGGAAGCGACAGGACTAACGTTTTAAACAAAACGACTTAGTGAATATTGGCGCACAATGGACCCAGTAGGGGTCGACGTGCTTAAAGCCAACATTAAAAAAAAAAAAAAAAAAAAAAAAAAAAAAAAAAAGTGAACTAAAGAAATTGATAACTTTATAATGACTGTGTCCTGAATATTTATCACCCATGGTAAATTAGAGTATATTAAATATTACCTTTTCTCCATCACTTGAAGTAGATTCAGAAGTAGTTGAAGATTCACTCTCCTCAAAAATATTTCTCATAGGTATCAAATCAACAGACTTTTTTTTTGTTATATCTGCAAAAAAAAAAAAATTGTATATATTCTTTATTTACAGATCAGCTTAGTGAGTCATAAATGGGCATTTTAACAGTTAGTAAAGTAGGGGTATAGTCTCATACTAAAGAGAGCCCTAAAGAAACATACTGTTTATAACTATGAACTATTTTAAAGTTTGTAAAATAAATGAATAATAATAATACAATAAATAAAGCTTTAAAAATAAAACTAGTTCTCCAGGTGCGCCAAACCAAAGGAATAAATGGCACTTTCATTGCATTTTCAAACTCCAGTTCAATTTTAATACAAAGAACCTTTGAAGTTACGGGACTTCCCTAAAATAATAATAATAATAAATAAATTTATATATATATATATATATATATATATATATATATTTTTTTTTTTTTTTTTTTGTTTGGCTCTACAGACCTTGTAGATCTTTGGCCGCCTGAACCAGCCTTCTCCACCTCTGCCTATCTTGGGCTACTGCTTTCCAGTATGCAGCATGAAGCTCAGCCATATCTTTGTTTATCCTATCTATCCATCTGATTTTTGGCCTCCCACATGGTCTCTTGCCAACTACTCTGGCATTAATTGTCTTGTAAAGGTGTCCTGATGGATTGCTACGAGCTACATGCCCTGCCAATCTTAACCTACTTGCCTTCATGTCATGAGATATTGATTGACCCATTTCTTTCAGCAGTTCTTTATCGTTCCTTTTCCTCCATATGCCAAGGTTCTGGTCCCATATTGGTCCTGTTATCCTATATAGAACTTTTCTTTTGAATCTCTTAATTCTGGCTTCTAATGTGCCGGTTAGAGCCCAGGTTTCACAACCGTACAGCAGAACTGACTTAATAACGGCGTTGTACACCCTTATTTTGAGATTTCTAGAGATTTTTCTGGATTTCAGTACCTTTGAAAAAGAGAAGAAAGATGTTTTCGCACTTATTATTCGCTTGTCTATCTTTGTTAGTTGATCATTTATTTAGGTTATTGTGGAGCCGAGGTATTTGAATCTGTCTACTTTCAGGAATGACTTAGAATCCACGTAGATTATGCTATTAGGGTGGATGTTTCGGCTATCATGTATTTTGTTTTATCTACATTGACCTGTAGTCCGATTTGCTCTGCTTCTTTTAATAGAGTCTGAGCGAGTCTCTCAATATTCTCTTGATTACTTCCAAGGACAGATATATATATATATATATATATATATATATATATATCAAATGTCTTCAAAATTCCAATAATTATGTTCTAGGTTTACATTACACTATAAGCAGTACCGTACTAACTCTTTACTTAATTTGTAATAAAGAAAAGCAATTTTTTAAGTGATAAGGTACTAAAAAAACAGGGAAATATAAGGGAAAAACTTGGAAAAACAAGGGAAAACGGGGAAATTTATGGGAATTTTTTGGAGAAGCGCTGGACACCCTGATCAAGATTTTTAAATGAAGTAGTATTAAAGCAACATTGAAAAAAAAAATTATTATATCATTAGAAAAAGTATTTTCGAAAAAACATAATAGTCGACCCTCATATCGATTAAATCCAAAAGGTTACAAAAACTCGAGCCTGGGGGCGCGATCTCAAATCCGACAGTATTTTTATAAATAGGAACCCCCAAAACATAATAGTCGACCCTCATATTGATTAAATCTGAAACGTTACAAAAAGTAGTTGCCCGGGGGAGCAATCTCAAATCCAAAAGTACATTTATAAAATGCGCCCTCCACCAAAACATAATAGTCCACCCTCATATTGACTAAATCCGAAAAGTTACAAAAAGTAGTTGCATAGGGGCGCAATCTCAAATCCGAAAGAGCAATCATAAAATGCGCCCCCCCACCAAAACATAATAGTCGACCCTCATATCAATTAAATACGAAAGGTTACGAAAAATTGATACTCGGTGGTTCCATCTCAAATCCGAAAGTATTTTCATAAAAAGCGCCCCCCAAAACATAAAAGCCGACCCTCATGTCGATTTAATCCGAAAAGTTACAAAAAGTCGATGCTTGGGGGCGCCATTTCAAATCCAAAAGTATTTTCATAAAAAGCGCCCTCCAAAACATAATAGTCGACCCTAAAATTGATTTAATCCGAAAAGTTACAAAAAGTCGATGCCCGGTGACGCGATCACAAATCCGAAAGTATTTTTATAAAAAGCGCCCCCCAAAACATAATAGTCGACCCTCATATCGATTTAATCCAAAAAGTTACAAAAGGTCGATGTGCGGGGGCGCCATCTCAAATCCTAAAGTATCATTATATAAATAGGCAAATACAAATCGGTTCAGCCCCTTTTACTCCTCTATTATTCAACCGATTTTCGTCTTTTTTTTTTTTTTAATAGATATTGACGAGCCTTAGTGTTATCAATAAATAAAAATATTAAATAGTATGTAAATAAAAATATAAATGGTAGTTTGTTCAAAACGGCTAATCTCCGAAAGTTTTTCACCGATTTCTTTTAAATTTTGACACAAAGTAGCAATAATATTTAGAAGTGTTTTTTTATACGTTTCATTATCATCAGGCCTTTCCTTTCGAAATGGCGGCCGAAAAACGTGATTCCCTTTTAGACTGTAGCGCCTATACGGTTTTAACGATTTTAATGAAACTTGGATAAAGTCTCCCCCTTGTAACATTTATAATTTATGTATATAACATACTTTCCCGAAAACAAGCTGCATACATTTTTATGATGAATTCAGTATTTTATTTGCGAATAACTCAAAAAGTACACATTTTTTTATTGATAATATCAATATTTATTTGAAAGCTTCCTGAATTCCTTACAAAATAAAAATTAAAAAATCAACGAAATAGGACTATTTTTGCAGAGATGTATCATTTTATACATTTAGTACTTTTTCTTTTGCAAATTCGGTTTCCTTTATTATGGTTTTTGATAAATCGAAAACTTTTCATTTACTGAGATAATTGGGACTATTATTTGAAGAGATAATCTAATGTTAGTGGAATGATACCTCATAAATTAAATTTAAAAAAAAATCTATAGTTATACTCATTGTTAACTTAAATACTGCACAAGCATTAGTTAATGGAACACGAATGAGAGTGAAGTACTAACGGGGGCTACATTAAATTAAAGAATTTTAATTCCAAGAATTAATTTAACATTTTCTGACATAATACTTACATTCGACTTTCAAAGAACAATGTTCCTATTAATAGCTGCATTTGCTATGACTATAATCAAATTGTAGGATAAAAGTTTTGGAAAAATGTGTGTATTATTGCAACGTCCAGTAATTTCGCATGGACAATTATATGTAGCAGCAAGTAGAGCACGTTAATTTAAAATATTGAAATTTATATTTTCAATGGGAATGGGCATAGCTATGCACTAAAAAATAACAGAACATTCAAAAAGAACATTGTTTACAGAGAAGTTCTGAATAAAAATGGATTTAAAGTGAATTGAAATTGCTAATTTAAATTTATTTCTTACTTGCTTAATCATAACATTAATTTATTGTGATAATAACACACATAAATTAAAATGGAAATTAAATATTTTTGAATGAGTCTATTTTGTATTACTTATAAATAATTTTAAGTGATTTTTAATTGAAATTAAAATTTTGTTTGTATTAATAAATGAGGATTTTTGAATCGTGATTTACTGTTTATTTATTTAAATTATTTTTTATTCAATTATATGTTTTCCTCAAATTTTTAATGGCTATGGTTGAATTTCGACCACTGGGCGAACACTAGTTTTCATAAAAAGCGCTCCCCAAAACATAATAGTCGACCCTAACATTGATTAAATACGAAAAGTTACAAAAGTCGATGCCCGGGGGCGCCATTTCAAATCTGAAAGTATTTTCATAAAAAGCGCCCCCCAAAACATAATAGTCGACCATCACATCGATTAATCCGAAAAGTTACAAGAAGTAGATGCTCGGGGGCGCAATCTCAAATCCGAAAGTATTTTCGTAAAAAGCGCTCCCCCAACATAGTAATCGACACTCATATTGATCTAATCCGAAAAGTTACCAAAAGTCTATGCCCGGGGGTGAAAATTCAAATCTGACAATATTTTCATGAAAAGTGCCCCCTCCACCCACCAAAATATAATAGCCAACTCTCATATCGATTTAATTTGAAAAGTCAATGTCCGAGGGGCTATATCTTAAATCCGACAGTATTTTCATAAAAAGCACCCCCCAAAACACAATAGTCGACCCTCATATCGATTTAATCCGAAAAGTGACAAAAAGTCGATGCCCGGGGATCTACCTCAAATCCAACAGTATTTTCATAAAAAAGGAACCCCAAAACATAATATTCGACCCTCATATCGATTTAATCTGAAAAGTTACAAAAAGTAGAAGCCCGGGGGCACCATTTCAAATCTGAAAGTATTTTCATAAAAAGCGCCCTCCAAAACATAATAGTCGACCCTCATATCGATTTAATCCGAAAAGTTACAAAAAGTAGATGCTCGGGGGCGCAACCTCAAACCCGAAAGTATTTTCACAAAAAGCGCCCCTCAAAAAATAATAGTCGACCCTCGTATCGATTTAATCCGAAAAGTTATAAAAAGTAGATGCCCGAGGGCGCAATCTCAAATCCAAAAGTATTTTCATAAGAAGCGCAATCCCAAAACATAATAGTCGATTCTCTTACCGATTTAATCTGAAAAGTCGATGTCCGAGGGGCTATATCTCAAATCCGACAGTATTTTCATAAAAAGCGCCCCCCAAAATCTAATATGGAAGAAATCCAAAAAAGTTGCAAGGCAGTGGCGTAATCTTAAAATGGAGATCATTTTCAAAAACTATGGATCTGAAAATATAATATATAAATTAGCCCTTATATAGAAGAAAAATAAAATTAGCGTCAAATCATTCGAAATTTATTTGAAAAAAACACGAATAACAAATAAAAAGGTAATAGATAACTTGAATTTATTTATTATCTAGATAAAAGATAAACAGGTTTATTCATTATTTGTAGTTGAAAGTTCGAATATA